GCTTGATCTTCTTTCTGTTTTTCCAGATTCTGGTATGTGTTACAGATTTTAGATTTGTGAATTAATTTATGTTCTTCTGTTCTTCACTGGTTCATTAAACTTTGGTAACTTCTTGTTTCTGCAAAGTTTGTTGGAATCAGTAAGATTCTTTAAACACAGATTGACAACAATTCTTCTTTAGGAAAAAATATTTCGTATATTTTTTCTAATATGTTTCTGATTCTAGTTTCTCTACTAGTTTTAATTTTCTAGTTATGAAAATGTTCTTAAACTTTATTGTGTCTTACCAATTTCTTCAAAGTTTTGTTCTAAGTATCTTAGGAATACAAGATGAACAACAAAAATTTTATCCAACCAAATATAAAATGACTTACATGTAATATATATCTAGGGAAAAGGGTTCAAAATGCCCTCAAACTATATGAAAGGAACAACAATGTCCTTCATTTATAGTTTGGCTCAAAAATACATTTACCGTCAATACGTTGGTTCAAAAATGCTCTTGCAGTCAATACTTTGGTCCAAAAATGTCCCTATATACTAAAATGGGTCAAAAATGCCCTTTTCTGAATAAGTATATTTTTTTTCTTTTTAAACACATTTTCTTCTTAATTAAATTATTAAGAACTATGATCTTATTTTCTTTCTTTTAAAATCACTTTAACAAATAAAAATGTAGGGAATATTTTTTTTCTTCTTCTTAATCTCATCTTATCAATTAAAATAAAAATAACTTCATGTACCATCTCGACAGATAATATACGTCATATGTATAGGATCATAGTATATCCATCATTAATTTATATTTATATAATGATAGCAAATAATTATAATAAAATAAGAAATATTTTCATTTTTTATTTTTTTTGAATTGAAGATAAACATTTGCTAATTTAAAAAAATATTATTAGAAAAAGAATGTGTTAAAAAGAAAATAAATAATATATTTATTTGAAAAAACGAGCATTTTTTTTACCCAAAATAACAATAAGGGCATTTTTGGACCAAAGTATTGATGAGAAGGGCATTTTTGGACCAAACTACAAACGGAGGGCATTTTTGTTACTTTCGCATAGTTTAAGGTGATTTTTGACCCTTTTCCCATGTATCTATATTGTATAGTATGAGATCATTTGATACGAAAGATAAAATTAAATAGTTTGGTATAAAAAATAGTCAAGGAATAAAATTTTGGTGTCATGTTTGGTCGTAAGTTTGGGATAACTTAACTCACCATTTATATCATAGTGATGAGATAAGTTATCTCATATACATGGTGACATAAGTTATTTCAAGTATAATTAATTCTGGGATAATTTATTCACAACTAGGTCATATGACTGAGAAAAGGAGAGTTTTTGTGACTTTAATTTTAATATTATAAATGGAAAAGGGCCTAAAATACCCTTCAACTATGCGAATTGGTACAAAAATACCCTTCTTCTACCTTTTGGGCCTAAAATGCCCTTGACGTCAACTTTTGGGCTCTATTTTGCCCTCATCTTTAACAGCGTAAATTCATTAATGACGTGTCACTATCCTAAAAATTAATTAAACTAATTAAAAAAAAAACATATACCCATTCAATAGCCCACCCGTAAACTTACCCAAATACTCTAACCCAACCTTCATCCTTTAACCTTTTAACCTAAAAAACTTACTCTCCAAATCCAAATCTCCTTGCTCCAAATCAAAATCCAGAGCTCCTGATCATGATTTATAAATTCATGTAATGGGTTAGACATGAAATAAAACTTTATTTTATTCTATATTTACCACATTTGTTATTATTACGTGTAACATACTGTTAATCAAATGAAACTCGATTATTGTCGTGCAATATATTACATATTTTTGTAACATGAAAATTGCAAAAATGAAAGAAAATAAACGAAAGGGAGAAGAAGACGAAAGTTAGCTAAAGCTATGTTCTTTTGTTCAGTATGCCAAATTATATGTTCTTTTGTTCAGTATGAGAAACAAAGAGTATATCATAACTTCCATATGAGTGTATGCTCTCTATTAACAATTTACTGTAACATATCAACAAAAAATGAATGCAAAATCTGAGATATATAACTACACAAATGCAAAGTTTGCTTCTTGTAAATTTCAAAAACACCTAGCTTACTTCTTTGACAAAATAACTACAGTTCATACTGTTGGGATATATACTATTATATGTTAAGAAATAATATTTATTATAGAATAAATATTTGCTCAATTTTAATAGATTATATATTTGTTTATGGTGTCTTTTTACATGTACAATAGATGATTTAGTGTATAGAGTTTTAGCTTATACACAGAGGATTAAATCATCGATTTTTATAAGTATAATTTTTTTTGTTCACAATGATGGAAATTGGACATGTCATCGGTACGATTGTAGCACAAGATTATATGTAATTTATCTTGATTATGGGAACGGTATAGTTCCAACTTCTTGTGCTAGTACATTTTGTATGTATTGAACGGGACCGAGTATAGATAGTTGTTTTAAACTGGCTGACAAAAACATATTCTCTAAACTATTAAATGTACTTATATTCTTAATCTTGATATAACTATTATGGTCTGTATATATTAATTATCGTTTTGATTTATTAAAAGGTGAGATTCTGAAATGGGTCAATATGCCTGGTAGATTGGATGATAATAATATATATTGGTGAAATAATAAGTTAGTTGATGGAATCCATGTCTCGTTATAGAGATTGATTGATATGCCTTTTTTATTTGAGAAACTTATAAGTTTTCATGGTGTCAAACCTTATAAGTAGATTTATGAATTCGACACATGAAACAAGTTAAGTAGTGCTCTAAAGAAAATTGATCATTGAATTAAATTCGTCAGTAATTTAATTTATTGATTAGTATCTGTAATCTTAACTTGGCGAATAAATTGATTCTTGGTCAATCCAAAAGAACGAATGCAATTAAAATGTAGTATCAATTATTTTGGCAAATAATTAAATATTCACTTTGCCAACACTAGCATTATCGATCTACAACTACTACTCCTTAATTGCCAAAAAAAAAGTACTACTATAGTTATTCACGTGAACACAGAAAACTACAGCCATATATTTTTTTATTTTTTTTACAAAATAATGGATCTCTTTTTACAACAAAAGATTCCATTGATTTACAGTAAAGAGAGCAATCCAATTACTAGGGAAAAAGAAAAAAGGAGCGTGTATTTTTTGGAGAAGAAACGTGTGATTCATGAAGGAAAATTACTCCTTTTTGGACTGGGAAGAAATCTCTATAAATAGGGTTTCTCTTAACCTAGAAAGACAATCAGTTTTCTATACGATTCTTGCCCACCCAAGTATTGAGAGAGTTCGGATGTGACCTTGGGATCACTGTAGAAGACCATAGTTGTCGTCTATCTTGTGAATTCGCTTGAAGGTCTGTCTAATTCGCTTGAAGGTATCTGTTCACGCTTCAAAATGTATTTATCGAATTAAATTTCAGCAAGTTTATGTGTTATAGCATGATTATGTGTTGTAGCATAAACGGTATTGATTATCTATTATTCACGTATGCAGTAAAATTATGGTATGCTTCTGCTGCGCATATAATTTTCCAAACACATACTTTAGTGTGACAAAAAAAAGTAAAATCTTCACATATAAGTTCCTGCGACTGCAAGCACAGAAAGAAAGGCTCAGTAATGAGTGCAAAGTTCGGTTGGGTTAAGAGTAGCAAGGAGATTTGGATTTGGAGCCAAGTTTTTTAGGTTAAAAGGTTTGGGGATGAAGGTTGGGTTAGAGTATTTGGGTAAGTTTATGGGTGGGTATATGTTTTTTTAGATTAGTTTAATTAATTTTTAGGATAGCCAGTAATAGGATAGTGACACGTCATCAATAAATTTAGGTTGTTAAAGATGAGAGCAAAATAGAGCCCAAAGATTGACGTTAAGGGCATTTTAGGCCCGAAAGGTAGAATAAGGGTACTTTTGTACCAATTTGCATAGTTAAAGGGTATTTTAAGCCTTTTTCCGTATTATAAATAATAAGTTTAGTTACAATCGATGGAATTAATCCTTGTCCTTATCATTTTGTTTTCCCTAATAAGAACCTAGAACCTCATAATTAATCCTTGTCCTTATCATTTGTTTTCCCTCATAAGAACCAGCAGGTTTTAAGTAACGACAATATTTTCATAAGAAAATTAAAATATTAGGAAGAAAAAGGAGAAGAATGAAGAAGGAGAGCCTGAAGATAAAAGTTATGTTAGCTAGATAAACGATGACAAAAATTATAAATGTCAAATAGGTAGTTGAAATGAATTTGGAACTTGTTTAATAATTACTTGAATCGAAATGTGTTGGACGAATAAGTTTAACAAACATGTCAATAGGTCATAACTCAACTTTCCAATTCTTACTACTTAAGTTTTAATTTTATGACTTGTTTAAGTATCTAATAAACTTTTTAATTTATTATAATTATATATAACAAATTAAAATAAAATAAAAATATTTTATAGATCAATTTAAACTACATATCAATCTAATTCTATTTAGCGTATCCTATTTTATTTTTTTTCAATTTCCAATGAAGTGGGCTTTGGTCCACCCGCAGGCTAGAAACAGGCCCAAAAGTAACATTTAAGCTGCCCGTAGAACTTTTCTGGAAGACGAATGCTTTTGTTTGAGTTCTAAGGATTTGCAGGTAAATATTTTCCGTTCCCCTTAACCCTAAATTCTTACTGGAAATCGTTTGTATGAAGCAAAATTGCCAAATAGGAATTCATTTGTTGGAATTGACATGTAATTCATTGATTGATAGTAAATATTTTTATTTTTTGCTTTTATACAAATCCATTTACAGCGCTGTTGATTAATTTTTTTTAGGCAAACGATAATTTGGAGTAAAAAATGAGGCCTTTATTCGTGGGGAATATCGAGTATGATGCACGTCAACCAGAACTGGAGCGATTGTTCTCCAAGTATGGAAGGATCGAGCGTGTTGACATGAAATCTGGTAATCCTTTTGTCTTTTTTTCTTCTTATTTGTTGATTTTGTAAGTTTTATTATTCTACTGTTGTTCCTTTGAGGCGTAGTTGATTGCTTGATTGTTTATGTTCATTTGAAGGGTAAAGATTTAATTGTGTTGGCTTTTTTAATGCATTTATTCTTGATGATATATATGACTAATAAAGATAAATACAAAAATGATAGCTAGAGGAAACTGTACAAAAAATTGAGATGATAAATTCATCAAAGAGGGCACATAGGAGTAGGGGATTTATGCATAGGTTACTTGTATTTAGTTTCATTTTTTCACAGTGCATAGATGTAACTAGTGTTTTCTGTTGGAGGCTCTTTCTTTGTAGCATTCTTCCTGGAGGGTGTTTGGGGAGATGGGTGTTCTTTAGGTGTATTACTTTTGTTTGGTAATGGTACTGTTTAAAACAGAGTAGCAAGAAAATAACACCCTAAATTAGCTTTATTCATGCAATTGTATTGCAAATTAAAATACATTAGGTTACTATATCTTCAGTTGTTAGAGTTACATGATTCTTTAATGTCAGGACACTTGTTTTTCAAATCCAGGCAGTGTTGACCTTTCTGGAGCTATTAATGTTTTCTTTTTGTTTTTTGAACGCCACAGCCAGTTTGTGTAAAAGGAGTAGGCTGGTAGTCACTATTCACCAGTGTAAACATACTCCCAATCAGGATAAGTAATCCATGTCTTGCCAGGTTTCATATATCTGACCCCAATCAGTTTGGGACGAGTACTATCGGGGTTATTGATTAATAGCTTCATTCATATTATCGTGCTTATCCTCCCTTCCCAATATAAGAGTATAGTGTTTTTTTTTCTGGATACACGATAGTGATATTTTGCTTAAATGTAATTGCTTTGGTACATAGCTACTTTGTTGTAGCTATGTATGTGCACACAGGACCTGGTAAGACATGGTGGGGAGCCAAATGTGAAATTCATTCGGAGGATCTCCATATTTTAAGTGTTTCTTTTGACGCAGGAACATCTCCTAAGGAAAAAGAGCTTGTATCATGGCTCAACACTTGCAAAAACTTCTATTGCAAGGCAACCTATCTGTCTTCCTGTACTCCTCAATGATGGAATCATTCTGCATCTCTTAGATCAATCTTCTGTCATTCACTTACTTCATTGCCCATGTTGCCATTTTTCAAGAATGGTTGTGGTGGGATCTATCTGTTCTTCATGCCATGCCTACCACTATTAATAAGCGGATCAATGAATTCTATCATGCCTTGCCTCCATATTCTGAATCGTGCTGTGAAATTGGTGAAGCATGCTTAGCAATGACTACTCAGGCTTGACTTCTTGGATTTAAACCTTTAATAAGACTTCATCATCATCATCATGATTTTGTTCATGCAAGGCCTCTCTCTCTCCTTACTTTCATCAGGTCTTCACATACTTGCAGGTGTTGTACTTTTTTATTTCCTAAAGGGGATGAGGGCTTTGATTTAGTGATGTACACTCTGCTCAAAAGATTTCAAACTTTCTTGTCTTACTTTTTATTATACTTATAATGGTGTCTTTACAACTACAGGCTTTGCGTTTGTCTACTTCGAGGATGAGCGTGATGCAGCTGATGCCATCCATAGTCTTGATAACATGCCATTTGGGTATGACAAGCGCCGGTTATCAGTGGAATGGGCAAAGGTATTTTCCTTGCACTCTTCTCAAATTCGGTAAATGTCATCACCTTCTCCAAGATACAATAGGATTGAAGTTGTAGACAACAGTTTATGTAAGAACTATGGTTTGTATCTTTGTTTTGGCAGGGTGACCGTGGTCGACCTCGTGATGATTCCAAGGTTGCAGCAAACCAAAGACCAACAAGATCTTTGTTTGTCATTAACTTTGACCCTATTCGCACTAGGGTGCGTGACATAGAGAGACACTTTGAACCGTATGGAAAGATCCTTAATGTTCGAATACGCCGGAATTTTGCGTTTGTGCAATATGAAAATCAGGAAGATGCCTCAAAAGCCTTGGAGTGTACACACATGAGGTTGTCACTGCATTTTCTTCTGTTTGTTTATATTGCAATTTCATGTCTACTTTGTGCTATTTTTCTTGTTGACAAGAAGTGAGTTTTGGGCATTTGCAGTGAGATCCTCGACAGAGTTGTTTCTGTAGAGTATGCTTTGAGGGATGATGGCGAGAGGGGTGACAGGTATGATAGCCCTAGAAGAGACTATGGCAGGCATGGTGATAGTCCTTACCGAAGGTCACCGAGTCCTATGTATCACAGGGGTCGATCTAATCCTGATTATGGTCGTCCTCGTAGCCCCGCATATGAAAAATACAATGGTTCATCATATGATCGGTACAGGAGTACCGAGTATGGAAGCTATCGCAGGTAGATTCGTAGTGTCTGACAGAAAATTTAATTTTAGTATTTGAATCTAGCTACTGTTTAGGAAGTTCTGTAATTTGCTGTAAGTGGGGAGCTTTTGTTCACTTTTTACTTTATCAAAAAAAAATTGGAGAGCTTTTGTTTACTTTCTTTTTCCTCCATAACTTCAGCAGGTCTCCTGTTCGGAGGTAAAGAACTTGAAGCAGTACTTTATCAGATGAAGATCACTACTCCTTTCTGGTATCGTAATATAAATAGATGTTGTGCATGAATGTAATGGATTGCTGCTTAAACTTTAGAGAGTTTGGCAGTTCAATTTGGGTGTTGAGAAACATTTTCATGGTGTTATCCTTGGCTCTGCTTTTTTTTTTTAGAGCAGTTTGCACGTATTCATGACTGAATGAAAAGGAACACATGTAAGAAAGTACTTGTTAGCGTATGACATTCAGCACAAATTGGGACGATATAGCATTACGCTCCAAGTGATGTCTGGTGTTTATACCATGTCCTGCCTTTTCTTTCTCTCGTTTTGATTATTGCCACAACTTTAAATGGGTTGTGCAGCATCAAAGTAACGTTCTAGTACAATTTGTAGGAAACATAAAAATTATACCAATGCCATCATTTTCTGGAACTACACTGATCCGATGAAAATGAAATATTTAAGTTCAAGTTTCAGAGAGTAAAACCGATACTATAACTCAGCGTCTTGCATAATCTCTGGGCTAAGTCTGACCATGAGGATGCAAAACTCATTTTCATCCAAGTCTCCTTCTCTCACCCTAGCCTCAGCATCTTCTCTGCTCATTCCCAAAATCCAGAGTTTTTCTGCAAACTAGACGGGGCGATCAATTTGATTGTGGGTCAGCCAGTTGCCGGAATCCTCCACATAGCTCCTTGACAAATGTATCCACCTCCACCTTATCCGCCATCACCGGTAACAAGTCTTGATATTTACCAACTTCGCTTTCCATTCTCTTCTAATTAATTTGTGCTTGGCTATATATCTACTGTACAAAAGAAAGTTCCAACTCAGGCTACTTAGTAGGCGTTTGGCCATGCGATACCATATCACGATATGGTGTCGTGAGATGGAATTAGTGTTTGGACATGCAATTTTACGCTGATTCCATATCACGAGAGGTGATACCATATTCTCCAAAAACCATGATATGGAATCACCATATCATGATTTGAGATATTTTAATACAATAATTGATCCATGAGTTTATATTTTGTTAAAACAACCCCACATTTATATCTACTAACCATTTGTTTCATATGTAAATAAAATTTATAATCACATCATTACTTTTTAAAATTTATTATTCTCACTAATATAAAATTTATTATTACTTTAAATTTGGTGAATATAAATGATAAAGTAGAAATTCATTTGGTGAATATAAATGAGAACGAAGGGAGTAATACTTTTTTGATTTTTCATAATAAAAAAAAACGTCTTAATCTTATGACTAAGCATAATATTGATAAAAGACAATTTTCATTGGCGGTGCCGCACTTTCTTAATCTTAGTATTCGCAAAATGTTCGTTCACATGACTGAAGAATATCAAGTCCAATTGATTGAGGACTTGGGAAAATTTGATCAATTAGTTATTAATATTTAGTCAAGTGGACTAGTTATAATTTTTTTGATTAAATTTTATTAGAAGTGTTTTTGACTCAAACTTGTGGTAACTTTTTAAAATTTCGTTATTCAATAATATTTAACTATTGATTTTTCTTGTAAATAGTTAGAAGTCAGTGATGTTTGTTAATTTTTATCTTAGTGTATTTAACTTCTAAGTTAATATTTACTCACTAATGTATGTTTTTTTTCTACTTTTAACTTTGTAATAATTTATTATGCAATTTTATAATTTTTTGTTTATTTGATAAGATTGAATAAACAATTGGAGTTATTTTAATAGTTTTACAACTTATGAGATTTTTATGTTTATGAGAAAATATACAACACAAAAATTCCATATCGCATGTCCAAACATACCTTCAATTTCATCTTATGATTCAATATCATGATACCATATCGCATGGCCAAACGGGCCCTTAGAAAGTTGAACTAAAATGTGATGTCAAACTAAGAAAGTTCCAACTCAGGCTACTTAGAAAGTTGAACTAAAATGTGATGTCAAACTTGTCACAAGGATTTTTCCTTAGTTTGTCTTTTACTTGTCCTCCTCCTTTAAGCTTCCTAGCTATCTTCTCATTTTGAAATCCTTTTGGTCCCATAATATTTGATGGAATTTAAGTCATCGGTTTAAAGAATATACAAAATCAGTATAATTTGATTTTTTATAATGTTATGATCCATCAAAGGGGAGTAAAAATGTTAGTGAAGGCCGAGCATACTATCAGAATAAACGCGTCTAACTATCTAATTGTGTGAAAATAAAATAAAAAATTAATACCGTCGGTACATAGGATTTTTCTTCACTAGTCAAGGCAAAGAGGATGTTTTTCAAGCCCAAGTTGAGGGAGTCTAAGTTTTGTTCAATTGTCAATTACTAGTACTAGTTAACTTTCCTTGTCAATTGTTCATACAAAGGGTCATTGTTAATGACTTCCATCTCTCTATATCTAAGTCTAATTGGGGTCTCTTTTTTCAGTCATACCCCTCATAGACTTTATAATAAACCATATGGAGCATCTCAAATTGACCCAAAATCTAGTGCATATATAAGTAAATAATGTATAAATGTCAAAGTTCAAAACTTTAAACATGATAATGAATGAACTAAACATACATTCATATCATTGAAAGGAGGATGAACAACCTAAACCTTGATGATGTTGTACTTGACCATGACAATTTTGCCTTCCTTGTACTTGTTAACATCACGAAAACTTTTCTTGTATTTCCAGCCCAATTTTTTGCCACATTCAGCACATAAAATATCAGACACCACATGAGGACCACTTATCATTTGCATGCAATATGGAGGCTCCTCAACAACATTGATAGCATGAGAAAATAGAAATGCTCGTCCACGACCCTTTTCATGTATGCCCTATACATCATAAAAAATCAAATTATTTCTCCAGAATCCATTTTTCATGTTTTATTTTACTTCTCTGTAACAACATTCTACCTCTATAACAATGATAGACACCATACTCAAAATACTATGTTATAATATTTCGCAAGAAATATATCATGTAAAAATAAAATAGTAAACTATTTACTGTAAATCATAGTAAAATTTCAAGTACGAGTATCTAAAAGGAAAAAATTGCATTTCAATGGTGCCCATAATTAGTTATGATCACAAAATTATTAAATTAATTGTTTGATACTTTTCTTTGTAACAACTAAATGAGATCTGCACGTCAAAGTAAGTTTGACTATATATTTTGAAAGCGAACCAACAAATATTGCAAGAAAAAGAAGAAACCAATTAATGTACTTAACTAAAAATTCCTTGTTAATGATATCATTATGATCTGCTACAATATTCCGGCAATTGAAGCAGCAATACCCTCGTAATCCAACTGATTTATCCATCTGACAAAACTTCTATGATTTAATTATAGGGAAAAATAATGAACTTCATGTATATATTATTCGAATCAATTATTTGGTTATTAATATATATAGAATTGCATTTAAGACTTAGAAGAATAAACGGATTTGAATACCTAATAGGATATGCTTGAATCTTGATTCTAACTAATCTTATCGAGTTATCGTAATTATTATCTACTATAAAATTAAATCTTACCTCGAAATTTTAATTATTATTATTTTTATTTTTTACATATTTATATTTTGAGACAATTGCACAAACTTCCCTTGAAGTTACAACTTGTAATAAATACCTCTCTTATGGTTTCAAATATTACACAATCATACCGTCTTCGTTATTTATATATTATGTTTTGTTTTACTTTGTGCGATGGATGTGTTTTGAAATTTTGAAACAAAAGCAAGAGGCTATGTATCAAATAGTTCATAATTTTCGTTTTAAGTCGATCTAATTAAACCTCTGGGTTATGGATAATTACATTCAATTTAACAAGTAGCTTGTATGAAAAAAAAGAAGTGCATGATCAACACATATTACAAGTCAATTATTCCAAAACATTTGCCTAACCATGGCCAAAGAAGAAGAGTTTTAAAAAGGCTAAAAACCAGCAAAACTAAACGACTATATACACACTTTATACAAAGTACATATAATCTTCACCCACACAAATAAAGGGGTATGAAGGAAGATAGGTCTGAAAAAATGATATACCAAAATCCATCACGGATTCAAATATGTGATCACAAATTAAGAAAAAGAATGAATTGTTGTCAGCTATTCTCCTTCAATTAATTACATGCCAACTTCTTCTTTGTGATCCATCTCTTCCTGCAAGCTTCTAATGCCTCCAGCTTCATTCTTGAGAGTTCTTGATAGCATTGTCGATACAGTGATTCAATTGTGTCAAGTTCTAACTTTAACTCACTCTCCTCATCTTTCGATACTAACGATAAAAATGAACAGTTGCCTGACAAACTCATGCATTTAGAAGCTCTATTTGTATCTGTCAAGGTCACCTCCAGATTCTTTCCAAATCCATTTGTTAACATGCATTCTACATAATCGCCACCATTTCCCTGTGACTTGCATTCATCATGAAACAAGCCCATGAAATCCAGCTCCGATAAGTTTCCACTAGAACCTTTAGAGATTACTTCTGCACATGTAAAGTAATCGCCAAATCCAAATGAATTTTTTAGAGATGAAATCTTTCCCATAACTTCAGAAGCAACAGACTCTCCATCTATCACACTTGCCAAATGTGAAGGGGAAGCAAAAGTAACACGACAAGAAGTGCCATTTGAATTAGCATACAATTTATCTTCATCAACTTGATGAGTAGTGCTGCTAGTTTGGTTATTCATATTGAGAACTGGAATATTATCATCTTGTCGAGCATTGGATGTGGTAGGTAAGGGCGACAAGGTTAGGTAGTTCTGTAGAGCCTCTTCTCTTTGACTTCTCCCTCCACTAGAATAATAATCTGAAGGCTTCCAACTAGGCACAATTTTCATTATTAGATAGTCAATGAAGTCAGCAATAAAATCTACATCATGATCATCTAGTTTCAATTGATCAACCATCTCAGCCGCAACTAAGAGTGCAGTGTCCGTATAGAGATAGAAATTGAAGTGTATATTCCTTACTCTGCCTGCAAATTTTGTAAGGCTTTAAATAAACAAGAGCCATTTGATTCCAAAATGCCAAGCAAATAAAAACAATAAAGAATTGGAATGCATCTACGTACCCGAAGGGCTTTTAATCCGCAAGGTCAATGAAACTGAGTTCTCATCATTCTTCTTACCCGTCAATTTAAATTCATTATTCTGATGAAACCTCTGGAACTCCAATGTTGGAGCACAAGGACTTCCACAATGGGAATCTGTACATACTGATTGGTTACAATCGGAATCTACATCCATCGAATGAGGTGCAGATT